GCACATAGTCCTGTTTAATTGTGCTTGCTGTGTAACGCCATATTAAGCTATTCTTCCATCTATATGGCGTCGGTCTGTAAATAATCAAGTTTTGATGTGACAATCCAGAGGTCAACATCAGGAACATCAATCTCATCAATTGGGAAACGATGACATGTGTCAACCACACGGGCCTGACAACCTCATCTTACGACTGAAAGCCAATTCCATCCCGAATCTTTACAGGTACTGTTTTATGAGTTGTCGATGGTCATTCTTAGTAGTGGTATAACATAAACTTGAACACTCCCACATTTGTTTTCATCTTTTATACAGAAATAAAAGAAAGAAAAGTGAGACCGCCAAGAGGACAAAAGCACGGTAAGAGTTTATTTCTGCTTGAGGTTTTTACTTTAAAAGCAGAACTGGAAGCAAAAGTCCTGTTTATCAGAAGTACATGGTACTCCTTTTCAGTGGCATATTGCCCAGTGGTATAGCTTTACCACGTCCTCATCCGTCTTCGTCTGTTATACAGAAGGGATAAAAAGTAAAGTCAGACCGCAGAGAGAAAAGCTTTATGAGGGGAAGGTGACTATGATACTTGCAGTTTGTACTTGAATGGCTTCCTAACCGAAAGCAAAACACAAATGATTAATTATGTTAGAAACCACCAATTGCCGATCTACAGATTCTGCAGGTTTTGATGTTTTCAAGTAAACATGTGAGGTGTTTTTATCGACTAATGTGTGTACCGGTAGCTGCAGGTTCTAACATGTTCATTATTTAAAGTCCATGTTTCATGTTTTGCATTCCTCGACTTTTCAGATAAACCTCGGGTCTTGTACAAAATAGCATTACAAATATAATTGGTGTTAATGGACATGAGAAATATATTATATTGATGGGTGGTCGGCAGCTGGGGTTTAATTTGTTGGCACACTGGCGGATTCTACATCAAATCAGACTTTCTGACTGATTATTGTTTGTTTGACAAGGTGATTCTCATATTAATACTTCACTATTGTTACTAGCTCTCGCCTGTTCTCCCTCACAGAGCATGTTTATGAAAACACCATCGTCAAGAACTGAACTTTCTGGGAACTATGGATCCGATGTTATCACCTGTCCTGGGCACCTGTCTGCATCTGCAATTAGTGTTTGCCATATGTGTACATTAGTATGTAAATGTTTTATTGTTCCTTTTACCCACGAGCTAATACAACCAGCCCCATCACTGCATCTTGACTGTACTTGGTTTCTCTCTCAATCGCATTGGCTCGTCATTATGTTGTTACCTTTGACCATCAATCCGAAATTACATGGATCTGCTGTATGTACTCTATAAACTCACGTGTTCTTGGGGCAAGGTGGTGCCAACTTAACACTCAGATAAGATGTTATTCATGTTTGTTCTCGTAAATGTCCACCAGTTACCTTTATACGTAGCAATTCGTGTCTGGTTTCATCATTTTATGTACAAACAAATATATATAACAGTTTTCAACAGCATACATGTAATGATGTTCATTACCTAGTAGTCATACAGCGCCTTTATCATTTGAGAGACACCTTTTATCATTTCTACTATATGATACATTTGGGATTACAGATTGTACTCGTTTGAGCCCCATACAGGATTCGTCCAAAACCTCTGAGAGTCGATCTGACCCACCCAAGCCATCGCTGCTTCCACAAACATGATCACGTATTTTGTGTACTCTTCCTTCTGAGAAGGGTAAAATGGCATGGCGCCCATGACCAGTTGTTCGTGGAAACCGCTATGGCTGAGTGTGTCAGATAAGTACGCTTGTTGGTTCAACAAACATCCAACAGGACGTCTCACAGTGACGTATTAGTTTGTCAGATGGTGTTTTAAGTGACTACCTCTCTTTACGTGTATTTGCTCATGTCCTCATGTCAGTGAATGCACTGACCTCGGCACAATACGAAACGTGTTTTAACGTCGTTTTTATGCATTTTCTACAACTTTTTCTAGTGCAATAACATACATTACATGTTATCATTGTTCACCGTTTGTCGTTTTTTCTTGTACATACTGTCTTTAAGGGGCGCCTAGAAGTTAGAGCAGTAAGGAGGGATAACGATGAAAAAATATGATCAACCTCTTTATTACCTACATCGAATCGTCGCTCTCACTGCAATAAAGTTGTTCATCCACACATTGTTACTTCAGTACATAGTCATACCATGTTACTATTCATTCGTGTTCTACAACAGTTCTCAATGTAATGATGTGCATTATGTAGTTTCCATTGAACACTGGTTTTGTCGTTTCCAGGAAACCTGTTATCATTTTCTATGTGATAGATTTACCGCATTATTTTATCATTTTTTGACAAGAGTATAATCATTAATTCAAATGTTCGTAGAAACCATGAGAGGGAAGTAAAATCCTATAACAATACAAAGCAAATTGACTGGGAATGTGACTTACTACCTGCGTGCATTAAAGCAAGAAAAGTGTACAAAAATACTTCTAGGAACAATCCCAAATTGTTTTGATAAAAACAGAGAGATGCTGGAAATATTTTGTGGGATACACTTAAAACCTAAAGTTGGAACGTCTGAGGTAACAATATAGAAATACAAGAATGGTTTGAATATTTCCAGCGTTCTTTAACAAATAAGCACATTCCTGTTGACACACAGTGGAATACGTAATTTGATAGTGATGATAATTTAGTCACTGACATTGTAGATCTTCCAATAACCGAGATGAAGCATGTTATTATAAAGTTGAGAAAGAATTAACGTCCTGATATGAACTGGTCTGTTATAGAATTTGTAAAATGTTTTCTTTAAACAAACCTACTATGACAGTAATATATATTTACAGTATACTACTATAGTTTGTTACACGCATTTGACCGGGGCCAATAAAATAGTTCGTTATTATCCTTTAGTTCGTTATCACCGTGTCATTTATGAAAGTAGTTTAGATTCTTCCAAGAACTGGTGTCTGGGAGTTGTAGTTCCACTTCATTAAAAGGGATCTACAAATGATGTAAACAATCACACAGTCATTAAAGTTTCTAGTATATTTAGCAAAGTCCGTATTTCAATCATCAACACGCATTTAGTGTACTGGTATGAGTCTCGAGATAAAACTGCAGAGGCAAGTTGGGTTTATACGTTCGGCAAATGATGACATGTTTGTTTACATAGTATTATAGACCGACATAGAAATCGGAAGGAGGAAAGTTATTTGCAGTTCCTTTTCAGATTCTGTGGCTTTTATTTGGTTCACATTGTGTTGCCAACAAAATGAGGAAACTGATGTGCAGTATTTATGAAAGGATGAAATGATGCGTTAACCTAAATGATAACTATACTGATCATTGTACCTTTCATAACAGTGTTCGCCAAGGGTGTGTTCCACGCTCCATTGTATTCTGTTTATTTTTCATTCATGAATAAGCTTTTAACAAAATAAACAGCTGTGATGGTGGTGTTCAGCTTCACCCTGAAACGTTTTATCATATCTAACTCACTATTTGCTGACGGTATTTTTATGTAGTCGACTAGCATAAAATGTTTGCAATATTTGATTTACTGTTTAGAATTATATTATGAGAACTTGAAACTAAGATAGAAACCCCAGAGTGTTTGTGTTTAGCAAGAAAAGTAAGCCATCAAGAAAAGAAAAATAGCTTTTTGAAGGGGTGATATTGGATACTGTTACGTCTTACAGATGCATTGAATTTTGCATTTACAAAGACATTATCACTGAATGAACATACTAGTAACTCAGCAAAGGAAGTTAAAATATTTGTTGGAATTTTACACAATTTTACACATAACGTATCTTTCACACAACGCATTGTTTTTAAATATTTGATACTAAAATTTGTCCTCGTCTATTACATGACTTAGCAACTTGTTTCTGTATGAAGTGAAAGCTGTTTAAGTTGTAATGTATATCTGCTTGTAAACAACAATGATATCAAACAATATACTTCAAATGTTATACGTACGTAAGTCCCGAGGGACTCAAAGTACAATTTAACTTGCAAACCTTTTCAAAGGTAGCATTTTTGCTAAATTATCATACAATCAGCAGCTGCTGAAGGCATAGTATCAATCCATTTAGGGTCCATGCGGGTAGCAAAGGTACTGTAAGTCCCCATGGTCCCTATATAGCTAGTATGGTGATCTACCGTCGGTTGTTGGCTATCTATAGCCCGTATTTTTATATTGTGTTGTCACTAAACAGTTTACTATGTTATATGCTCCCTAGCTTGAAATAAAATGTGATTAACTAGTTGTTGTACTGTGCTTTGGGGACAGGATTTTATAACCTTGAAATATATTTAATATTTTGTTTATTGCTGTAAAACGTTATCTCGTCACGATATGGCTGAAATATTGCCGAATGTGACGATAAATCTTAACTCACTCAGTCACTCTCTGAAATGTCCCTATATATATTTTCGTTATGCAATAATTCTTATATGTCCGATGGAAATATTAAAGATGACAAGAAATTGTTGCAATTTGTTATATGTTGTTATATATTATGTTATTATATGAAAGCCATGGCGCGCAGAATTGAGTCTACAATGACAAATGTTTATCAAAGTAATGTGTAGATATGCATGGCATCACTGTGTTCCTGACCATCCAACTCAAAACGACATGTATTTGCAAAAAGAATCCTTTCTATCTTAGACTCTCTTGTTAATTGTAAACCAATAGTGTGTGTTTTTTTGCAAATTCATTGGTCGAGAAACCTTGTCGAACATAGTTCGATTCCCTGAATTACAAAAGCCGAATAACAGCCCAATGATACATAAGAATATGCACTACTTTCATTTGCATAATGGAGGCTAACTCTATTTTGTGTGATGCTAATTTTTTTCTTGGTTCCTTTGATGAAATTTTTGGAGATGATGCAATTTTGGAGGAGTTCATGAATGATGAAGGTAAGTATTTCATTTTTTTACCTAACAGAACGCTTATGTGCTTTTTAAAGTATTGATTGAAGAGACATAAAATCTCAGTTGAGCAAACACATTTATTCTAAAAGTGACATACAAAGGACAGTGTTGATAAAAGATTTCTGGTAATTGACAAATGAATAAACTTAAAAAAGTACTTACAGTTGTTAAAAACAATAATTTTTACTTGGGAATAGGTTTCGACTCTCTCCAAGAACCTGACGTACAATCCATTCAGGTTGACAACTCGGCTAACGCTGTCAAAATCCCGGACCAGGCCTCGACAACCGAGCGTCCATCAGTATCGGCTGACCAGAGTGGCTCCAGCTCTCGCTTTGCAAAGGTCAAGGATGATGACCTACAACAAATCATTGATGGATCTTTATCAAAGGCGACCAACAGAAATACCGTCTGGGGTGTGAAACTGTTCCGGGGTGCGTCCATACGACACTTTGTAAACAAAGGGAAACAAATTGATAGTTACCTCCCCTGATTAGTTTAGACTGGCGAAACGTCTTTCACAAACTGTTTGTATCCATAAATAAATGAAGCATACACATCAAACTCTGCCTTGACGGAAAAATGGGAATTTACAACCATTTTAACGATAACTTAATGCAATAACGTGTTATTGATTGCATAAATATTTTAGCCCAATATTTCATACACACCAAGCCATACTGTACTGTAGCGTGGATAAAAAATCTATGATTTTCTAACAAATTTGTTACTTTATAACCTTACCTTCTCTTATTCGCAGAGTGGCTCCAAGAGAGGGGGTATCCTTCCGATTTTGAGAATTTTGATGCTCAAGCACTCAACACCTATCTTCGTTCATTCTACGCTGAAGTGAGGAATGGTCGTGGCGAAATGTATTCGAAGTCTACATTCGTCGGACTGCGGGCGGCCATCAATCGCCATTTGCGTTCTCCTCCATATGAACGTGACATTAATATTATGAACGACAAAGATTTCCATACAACAAACAATGTTTTCATTTCTATGGTCAGAAAAATGAAAAAGGAGGGCCTAGATAAAACTAAACATCACGCTGCAATCCCCGCGACCGAGCTGGCAATGATCCGAGAAAGTTTTGATTTGTCTTTACCAGTCGGCCTATTCAATAAAGTATGGTTTGACATAACTCTTGGATTCGCCCGTCGGGGCAATGAAAACCAGGCATCACTTCGCTCGTCGTCTTTTCAGGTCTCCGTTGACGAAGATGGCTGTGAATATATTGAAATGACACACTAGGAACTCACAAAAAAATCACCGTGGCAATTTGACAGATTCCATTGAGCCAAATAAAAGGATCTATGCCACTGGTGACGCGCACTGTCCGGTTTCATCCTTTAAATCGTACAAATCCCACATGAATCCCAATAATGAATCGTTCTTTCAACATCCAAAATCTGTCGTCGATATCCGCGATTCTGTTTGGTACACCTCACGGTGCGTTGGCAAAAAATTCACTGTCACAAATGATGAAAAACATCTCCAAGAATGCCAAGTTGCCACACACATACACGAATCACTGCCTTCGCGCAACAGCCGTCACTCTGCTATCCCATGCCGGAATCGAAAACAGAGAAATTTGAAAAATAACTGGGCATAAAAAATGATCAGAGTTTAAAATCATATTGCACCGAATCTAGCAGTATACAGAAGAGGTCGTACTCGGCCATTTTGCAGGGTAATGATAGCGAAAACAGAGCAATCAAATGCCACCGCGTGGGTTCTCGTGTCGTTGACACTGTGTCCTCATCTAGGCCCTCTTCACACTTGCAAAGTTCTTCAATTGTATCCGTGATGGGAATGTTTCAGGGCATACACAATTCTACCATAAATGTCAGCTTCTTGAATCAACAGTAGGCCAAACTTGACACGATGAAATCCATGTGGTCGTACTTGATTGGGCCAGTCTACGTAAGGTAACACGAGGTGGAGAAGGTAGCATAAAATGGAATTTGTTCATTGTCATTGTAATTCCAGTGGTATTGCAGTAATTGGGATTAACATGAAGACATGTAAACTGTTACTCATCAAGTTTAAATAAAAACATGACTGAATACATTTTGTTGTATGTATTATATTGACAGTTATTCATTTGGAACATGACGTAACCTATCTCCCCCATCAGATAATAGTTTAACCCTTCTTGTTGTTTTCCGTTTCTGGGGCGACAGCGAACTTGACCACGAGAGGCTAACCGCATTACGACACACGATCTCGCTACGTCAAAGAGTTCATTGAGAAAACGCTTCTTACTAATAATTGGTTTACAATATCGATAAATAGTTTCGTTTGTTCAATTTCCGGGATTCATTGGAATTCAACATAGGCAAATTTTAGCGTTTAAAACCTCCGGCTGACGCCGTCGGTTTTAAACTAAATTTGCCTATGTTGAATTCCAATGAATCCCGGAAATTGAACAAACGAAACTATTTATCTTCTAAGTGTAATTACTATAAACTTTAAATTTCACATGTGTGCAGAGACATACCCTTTTGAAGTATATTGTTGAACATATAAAGTGGCTGTATTACAACTTGATTACAGTACACATAGATTATTGATGGAATTAGGAAACCAACAAACTGTGAAAGGGAAACATGTGCACAATGTATTTTAAATGCAGTTGAATATGCTTAGCACTTGTTTGTCTGCTGTAAATATAATGATTTAAAAAGAAAATATCTGAAAAAGGCTTTTTTAGTTTAAGCAAATATTCCAAGAATTCGTATCCTTAATATGTTCATCTTATTTTAATGTCCTATGAAACTTTTCATTGTTTATCATGCAGTGTTCACTAGACAGTACATTACGCTGTTTCCACCTTCTGCTTTGTATGCTAGGCCTGTGGCCCCACAGTACATATGCGAATATAGAATTGTAGATACATGTGTAAGATACTGTACCTCATCCACATCTGGAAAGTCGCTCTGAAACGTTATGCTAACTGGTCTGTCTCCCTGACAAGTAACACTGGCAAGATGTCTGTAACAATACAGGTTGATTAAAGCATCCACCCAACAACGTGTGTTGATTACTTTCAGTCAAAACTGTTCATCAGGCGTTGCTAGAAGTGGCTAACCTTTTCCTCTGAATGTTTGTGTTAATATATTTATATTCCTGTCATTTATTGCTGGTTTAATAAACATATGTCTTTATAACTTCCGAGTATTCCTAAACATAGCTTGTTAATGCTCATGTATCCGTTTATCGTATACCCCTACTGTCATCTTCTGTTGGTGCTGTCACATATTATGATGGACTGTCCATCTTATATAAGAACTGTCAACATATATGAATACGATGTACCATTAATCTTTTTACATGCTGTCAACAAACTTATACGATGCAGCTGTCGTTCAGAGAGCCTGCTCTGGAAAGACTGGGCCTTCAACTGATAATTAGCAATACAAAATTTGCATTTGCATCAAGAAAAAGGATATATAGCAAAACAAGAGAAGAGACAATATAAACACAACTAAACGAAAGACAATCACCAATACAATAACAAAATAATACGATATATACTAAGCAGCAAAAGAAACGTCAGTTTGGAATTTTCCTTCGCAGAAACGGATAACTGTAAACTCATTTAATGTTTATATTGGATATTTTTGACAACATCTCCAACTTTACCTGAGCAAAGACATTCCTTCCCAAACTCAGAATGGAACTCAGGAAATGGTCTCGGAGATGGTACAGTGTTCTCTATGTTTTTCATGGAACTCATGCTGCACGTGCTGTTCACAAGGACCAGCCCTATAAAATGTACCCCCAAACCTGGTTGAAACATTCACATTACAACGTCAGTGACCAAACGACCAAGCAATCGATCACATTTTCTCATAATCGAACATAAACGATTTTGGAACTACTGCTTTAGTCTTTGAAATACTTGACAATGGAACATATCGTAGTAGTTGTCAGGGCCTGAAAACTTGTTTAATTCTTAGAAAACTCACTTCACTAACTGAAAAGCCATGACTGAATATATTTTTTTAAGACTCCAAGAAGTTTATGTTCATGATATATTAGTCATCACATTAAAGTAGCAAGTTGCATCATGTTATACATATCTGCACTAACGACCTGGATAGGAAAATCTGAAAAATGACGCTAACCAATTTTTTTCGATGATTGTTTGTTGGTAATGAAGCAATCATACTAGCATTACATAACAATATTGACAATACGTAGCTTCATTATGGGATATCGTAGCTAGATGTATGCCTCTCAGTGAGATTGACAGCCTTCTGGCTTACTGTGCCACTGGGATGGTGCTGTCAGTACTGCCCGTATACACTAGTAGCTCCTTCATTCATTTTATACAGATTATTATTCGTAAAATATATTGAAATAATAACATAAGTACATTTGTCTTTGTAAATTTACTTCATATTACTCTCAATGATGTTTGTGATACATTGTTTACAAGTGATAATTGGTTAGATTTATAAGCACATGTATCGTAGAATATATATTTCATAAGCAATGTATACTGTTAATTATTACTTAAACAGCAATTAATGGTCTTTTTTTTCGCTATCTGATGTCAATTGTATTTAAGATCTTAATGACGGCTCCAAGTCTGCACTTCTTTCATTACTTCGTCTTATGATTCTGAGAAGAGATGTGTCTACCCTAAGTGTTGTCTCGTGGTCGACCATGCTAGTCGTGAGACTAATTGGGTGGGGTGTTCAAGCTTTTCCTCTGTGACCCGTGTAGATCTAGATTAGAATTGGTCTTCAGCAACACCTGCTTGACGTGAGATGCTACTGACGGGATTAGGTAGTTATGCTCAAGATGTTGACCACTGGATTGTCCGATCCAGACTCAATTATTTACAAACCGCTGCTATGAAGCTAGAATATTGCTGAGTGCGGCGTTTAGAAACGACGTCAACAACACAAATAATACAATTGCTCAGATGCCAAAGTTATTGATGGCTGTGTGTTACCATTGAGTAAATCAATGAATAAAATGTTGTTTTTCTTTACCGTGGAATCTATACACTTGCAGACAAAATTGACAATTAAAATTAATTACTGGATAACCTGATCAATCGATCACTTGACTGTCTGGTTTGCTCAGAAACCGCCATCACATGGAATCATTACTGCTGTGCGGCGTCGGCATGTAAACGCTTAAGTTTTAAGCAAACTGTGGGAATGGCCTATTTCATACAGTTCTCTTAGCCAATAGTCACACCAAATTAGTTGATGTTTCATTGTTATCAGTTATTCATGTCTGCCTGTTAAGATGACTCCATGTCTTCCCTATTTTCCTTTCTTCTGAGATGACTATTCCTTCCTGGCCACGATATATATAAACTTCGCATCGGCCTTGAATATTTCGGGGTTCATCCTTAAAAAACGTTTCTTCACATCGTCGTAGAGTCCATCAACTATCTGCTCCTTCTCCTCCAGTGATCGGGAATCTGAGAGACCATTCATGAAAGTACTGTTGCTCCAGTTCCTGTGAGCAGACACGTACATCCTGGCAAACTCCTCCCTTTCATCAATTCCTTCTTTGTCTTTCTTCTCTCTCCAATTGTTGTAAAATACATCAGGGTTCACTACAGCTTCAGCTGACAAGAGGGTTAATCCAGACCTTGAAACTGGTGACGTTTTGTCATCGAATGGTTTTCTCAACTCCTTCATGCTGCGATAACAAGCGGATATGTTTGTATTGACGAACTCATCTTTGGAGATTTTACCAGATTCACTGTATTTCTTCCATACCTCATTCAGTTGTCCAACCATGGAATACTGAGTGTATCTATTTTCTCCATTATTTTTGCCCTCAAACTCAGCGCAGGTACCTACGACAAGTACGCCTCCTCGTTTCAGTTCTCTACTTCTTCTCAGTAAAAAGGTCTTCCAGTCCAACTCCGCTTGCTTGTGTAGTGCAGCCGTCTCCTCAGTACTACTCTTGGCATCTTTGTAAATCGAGTCCTTGAAGGTGGTTGAAGTCCTTGACAACCAATGGACAGACGTCATTGACATCATGAAATGCATTGAGTTTGAAGGTACACACTGCTTGTAGAAGTTTGTCCCTGAAGCAAGAACATAGACATTGTCCATTTCCAGGAGGTAGGACGGCGGATCAGGGATGATTCCTGACATACGTTTGAAGAGGGAATTGAAATCATTCATTTCCAAGTCTTCATAAATAACCTGGAACTGGGTGTTGGGACCATGATGATCTTTCAGAGTTACCAACAACTCGCGGAAAATGGCCAT